GAAGGCCTGCACGGCGCGGCGTTTGCTAAACCACTCTCGCGCATGCGCGAGTGTGTGGAAATTCTGCGCTTAGGACTGTCTGGACAGAAACTCGCTTACGAAGGTGAACACTATCAGCTGCCGCGCAAAGGGGGTGAAGGTAAAGCCATTCGCCTGTCTCAACCACCACGCCCGGACTTACCAATCTATCTTGCAACTCTGGGTCCTAAATCACTGCAGATGACTGGCGAAATGGCCAACGGCTGGTTGGGCACCTGCTTCCTCCCGGAACATAACCACGTTTTCTTTGGTGATCTGCAGGCGGGTGCTGATAAAGCAGGACGCAGCCTCAAAGATATCGATATTCAGGCCGGCGGTTATTTTGAGGTGGGTGAGAACGTGGAAGAACTGATCGCCGCACGCAAACCCGGCATGGCCTTTACCCTAGGCGCTATGGGCTCGCCCAAAACCAACTTCTACAACGATGCCTATTGCCGCGCGGGGTTTGAAGACACCGCTAAAGAAGTTCAACGCCTCTGGGTAGACGGCAAACGCGATGAAGCGATCCGCCGTGTACCTGACGACCTGGTGTTGATGGCAAACCTGGTGGGCACAGAGGATATGGTGGCCGCTCGCCTGAAAGCGTTTGCAGATGCAGGCGTCAACACCTTGCGCCTTGCCACCGGTGGTGAAACCTGGGAAGAGCGCACCGCGGCACTGGATGCGGCTATGGATCTGATCAAACGCACTGGCGCGTGAGTGTAGAAGTCCAACAACGATCGGCTGTTCGCGGCCTGCTGGTGGATGAGTCGAGCACTTCGGTCTTGCTCATCCATACCCATATTCCCGACAGCGGCAAGCTCATATGGCTGGCCCCGGGTGGCGGCAGAGAGCCAGGCGAAAGTGAGACGGACTGCTTGTTCAGAGAACTGCAAGAGGAAACCGGGCTGGTTATTCGCGAGACCAAAGGACCAGTCTGGGTGCGACGGAAAGTGTTTAAACTCCACCACCAGACCTTTGACCAGCACGAAACCTTTTACTGGGTACCAACAGAAAAATTTGCACCCAACGGCGCCAGCAATCCCGCCATCGAAGAGCGCGACATTTTCCGCGGTTTTCGCTGGTGGACGCTGGATGAGATGCGCGATGCGCACGACGAGATATTTGTTCCGCTGACGTTCGCAGATGAACTGGACAAGTTGTTAACCCGCGGCTTGCCGGACGCACCCATCGACGTTGGTCTTTAAAATTCCAGGTTCTTCTGAGGCCGAATGACCATCTCGTCAATGCCAATATTCGCCGGTTGCTGCAGCACATAAAGTACCGCATCAGCCAATGCCTTTGGGTCACCAATTTGTTTGCTTAAGCCTTCGTGAATGGTAAGAAGTTCTTCCGCTGTCAGTTTTGTACCCGCCTGGAAATCAATCTTAAGTCCCAGGTGCGCAATCATCCCGCGAATTATTTCCGCGTCGACATTGCGAATAAAGTTTGAGGTAAACACACCGGGCATAATACTGGTGACCCGAATATCGTCGTCCTGCAGCTCGTCACGCAAGGTAGCATTTATGGTGTTGACAGCGTGTTTAGTTGCACCGTAAACACCAGAGGCCCGATTGAGACCTGCAACGCTGGAAATATTGATAATCCGGCCCGGGCGACCTTTGGCCCGCATCACCCGAATCGCTGCCTGACAACCAACCAACAGCGCGAGCACGTTGACATCGAACATTTCGCGCCATTCCGCCGGGTTGCCATCAGCGACCGGATCATCCGTATAGCCCAGCCCAGCGTTATTGATCATCGCATCCAGACCATCATCATAGTTGGCTGCTGCCTCGACAAATTGGATTAACGCTGCATCGTCACAGATATCGAAACTGAATATGCTGGCACCGCCACCCGCGGCTTCGATTTTGAGTTTGCTCGCTTCGAGGGTGTCGAGTGTTCGCCCACAAATGAAAACATGCGCACCTGCTGCACCCAGCGTTTCCGCGATACATTGACCGATACCGCTCGACGCACCGGTAACCGCAATCGTTTTTCCTTTAAGTTGCATAACAAGACTCCTGTACAGCCGTTCTAGGACATTTTTTTTGTATACTGCCTTACGCTGGACAGGCAAAACAACATTCAGGGACCTACCACGATCAAGAATTTTTTAGCCACCGAGAATATGTTTTGACCCGGCCAGAGGACGATCGCCTGAGAACAGGCGGTGCATTTGATGCGCTCACAAAAGACCACACCTTTGACCTGCAGAGCAAGCTAGAAGGCCGCATTCTGGGCGGCTACAAGATAGGTCAGGTGTTGGGCATCGGTGGTATGGGCTATGTGCTGCACGGAACCCGTGCCGAGGGGGACTTTGACCGCATCGCTGCAATCAAAGTTGTCGAGGTCACCCACCGCACATCAGATTTTGCTCAGCGCTTTCGCCGGGAAGTGCAGATTCTCGCGCAGCTGAATCACCCCAGCATCGCACAACTCTACGATGCCGGTGAAACGGAAGATGGGTGGCCTTATCTGATCATGGAGTATGTCGACGGCAGTCCGCTGGATGAATACTGCGCGAAGCACAATTTATCCATCAGAGATCGAGTTGGATTATTGATCGACGTCATCGAAGCTGTACAGTTTGCACACGCGCAACTGATTGTGCATCGCGATCTAAAGCCGTCCAATGTGCTGGTCGACAAAAACGGCAATCTGAAACTACTGGATTTTGGCATTGCCATGCTGCTCAACGACAAGCCTGAGGACGTTACTCAAGCAGGCGCTATGACCCTGCAATATGCCAGCCCCGAACAACTGTTAGGCCGGCCCATTTCCATTGCGACCGACATTTATCAGTTAGGTATGCTGATGTGCAAGGTGCTGGGTGGCAGTTTGCCTACAGATGGAGAGACGATGGCTGACGCCATCCAGCGCTCAGCTGACCGTCGACTGATGACTGTGCCTGCCGCCCTGCGGCAGTCTCTGCCGAAAGAACTGGTGCTTATTATTGAGCAGTGTCTACGCACCGAGCCTGCCGATCGTTACCCCGATGCACACTCACTACGTGACGACCTGGACGCCTATCTTTCGGGCTATCCGGTCAGCGCAGCGGGTGTAAGCCACGCGTACCGATTGCGAATGTTTGTACGACGCAACTGGGCAGCCGTGCTGAGCGCATCAACGGCATTAGTAGCACTGGTTGCTGCAACTGTAGTCGCCGCAGTGCAGATGGTAGAAGCCAATCAGCAACGGGATATTGCCGTTTATCAACAGCAGCGGGTACAGGCCAGCAGTGAGTTTTACAGCCTGTTGATGGAAGAAATGGGACGGGGCTCTTTCACGTCTATCGATTTACTGGATCGCGGCAAAGCCCTTCTGAACGATCAGTTTGGCACTGGCCAACCGTTCATGGCATCGGTGTTGTTCGACGTATCAAGAAGCTACGCAAGCCTTGGCGAACAGTCTCGTGAAAGTGAGTTACTACGAGAAGCAGAAGACATCGCGCGCGCCAACCAGGATGACAATCTGTTAGCGGCAATACTGTGCAGCATGGCGCGCAGCAATCTGGTCCGCGCGCCGGACATTGCGGCCAAACAGCGCAGCGAAGGTGTTGCTCTGTTCCAGTCTCTGCCGAACCCCGCCATTGAGACCAGCATGGAGTGCCTCCGCACACAAGCTGACCTGAACATTAAGGCAGGTAACACCAGTTCCGCTCTGGAGTCCCTGTTTACAGCGAAACGAGCCCTGGACGCTCACCCAGCGCCGGCAAACACTCTGCGTGGATTAGTTTTGAATGATATCGCGTCCGCGTACTTTTATGCTGGTCGCTTTGATGAGGCCATCCAATACTTGAACGATGTGCTCGAATTACTGGAATCTTCCGGCAGGAGCAACACACTGGGTTACCAACGCATCGTTGCCAACAAAGCCGTTACGCTGCAGTCAAGTGGCCGCACAAATGAGGCGCTCCAGACGCTTGAAGAGCTTATCAAACGTATGCGGAACAGCGGCTTCCAGGGCCGTGGCCTGGGCATCCTGAATGCTCAGTACGGTGATCTGTTAATGAGCGTGGATCGCGTTGATGAAGCCGAAAAAATATACCGCGAAGGACTTCTTGTCGCCGAGTCCGCTGGTAACAGCCGAATCACCGCCGCGCTGAACAATTCATTGGCCAAGGTTTACATTGCAAAAGCGGCATACCCGACGGCCTCAGCATATCTTGATGCTGCCGAGGCTTACATCCACGACGGCGAACCCCGACCACTGGCGATAGGTATTCGCAACCAGAGAGTAAAACTGTATCGCTTAACAGGACAGCTCGAACTTGCCGCTACCGGCATTGAAGCGATATTGAGGGAACTCAACTATCCGGAATCTAGACGCGGAGCCGGACTTTTTACTGCACTCACGGAAGGCGCAGAGATTTACCGACAATTAGGTGATTACGCCAAAGCCGGCACGCTCGCTGACGGACTGGTCACGCGGCTTATGGAAAACACTCCGGCTTCAAAAGGTAGTATTGATCACGGCAACGCACTGTTACTACGTGCTGAAATTTACCTGCAATCAGGCGACGCTCAGGCCGCTGCAGCGGACTTTGAAAAAGCGCTGCCACATCTTCTCGAAACCCTGGGAGAAGACCACCTGAAGGTAAGACGGGCACGTGATTTGTTGACGGAACTTCATGGTTCAGGGCCATCCTGAGCTGACGTGATCAGCCCTGATATGCTGCGTCATCAATCTGGTATTTCTTCAAGCAGTTCAATTCTACCACCTGCTTCGTAGAGCGGGTTCCCGCTAACCAGCTTCCGGACTTCGTCAATGCTCTCAGCTGAAAAACGCATAAAATCAGTGACTTCGCATGTACCGTCACTGCGCCCTTTAGAAACAGATATCCCGTTACCCAGCGAACTCCCGCCACGGAATTTGCCCGAGTCCACCAGAGATTCAATGTAGGTATCCCAATCTCCATCCGATGCTGAACCCATCATCAGCATGACATAGTCGGCCATATCCTCACTCCTGCGTACTTACTTTTCCAGCTCAAGCAATATGTCTTGAACGGCTTGAATCTGAATGGCTGTCTGGTTCGCGTGTTTCGGGCCAAGCCGCTCCAGTTCTGGCTCTAATGCGGCATACAGCTGAGGCACAAAGGGAGACAAGGATTTTCCAAAGACTTTCCACCAGGCATATCCGTAGGGGTTATTCAGTAGCCCCGTCCAGCGCACAACTGCAGTCCGACCGACCTCATGATCGGGAATGCTTTCCTGCCTCATGGCCTTTGCGAACTCCGCCATGTAAAGATTAAACAGAATGATATGATCCTCGGTTGTCAGTGTGCGGGGATCGTCTATCGCACGGGCAAGTGCCTCTCCCGGGTTTTCGCCTGTAAGTTTTTCATAATAATCAATAACATCAGAGAACAGCTGCCCTGTCACTTCTGTTGCGGCGATGTCTTCTTCCTGCGCTATCTGGAACGCGACCAGCAGCAGGCCAACAACAATACCAACGTGCGCTGCAATCTCGAGCCATTTAGCCACTGAATTTTGTCCTACGGTCATTTCGATAGATTCCGCAAGTAGGCTGCCGTATACCTGTCACCCCGCCGCTGGAAAGTGCTGTGCCATCGCCTGCAACATCTGCGGCACTACTTCCGGAGGCATGTTATGGCCCATACCCTGATATACAATAAACTTGGATCCATCGATCATTTCATGAGTGTGTTTACCGTGTTCTTTTGGCAACAGATTATCGTCCTCGCCATGTAAAACCAGCGTTGGCGCCTTAATGCGAGACACCGCTTCCGACCGGTCACCGGCAGAAACAATGGCCATTAACTGGCGCGGCATGGCGTCTGGGAACATGCCCATCTCTTCCAGCTGCGCCTGCACATCCCCCTCAGAATCGCCAAGCTCTAACAGATCATCACCCGCCCCGCCCTGCGCTTCCGGCAGGTGCGGTGCACCCGTGGTAGACATGATCGACACTAACGACTGGGTTCTTTCGGGGTAATCTGCTGCGATAATCTGCGCAATCATGCCGCCCATGGAGGCGCCGACAATGTGCGCGCGCTCTATTTTCAACTCGTCCAGTACCGCAATGGCATCCGCCGCCATATCATTGAGACTGTAAGGTGCATCAACGTCGAGCCCTATGGTCGCTTTCAGCATCTGCCACCACAGCGTTGGCTCGCCCAACTCATCCAGCCGCGCAGACTCACCGGTATCACGGTTATCAAACAGCACCACACGATAACCCGCATCAATAATGCCGTTAACAAAGTCTTCACCCCACAACCGGTGGGAAGCAGTTAACCCCATCACCAGCAGAACAGGCGGTGCCGACAGGTCACCGGCCTGGGTATAAGCAATATCTACGCCGTTAACATTTATTTTTGACATGACCTGATCACGGCTGTATCCAGCGTGAGACACTGATGCCAGCAGCAGGCAGACAGCACCAACAAATGTTGTAAGTCTCTTCATCTTCAACTCTCTTTCTTAAACTTCATTTCAGGCGTACGGGCAAACTCTTGTATCGATGCCACAATGGCATTTTCTGCAAAACCAGGTCTTGCGCAGGCACAGCAAAGCTGATGTCCTGGGTTCGTTCAAGCAGAACTTGGAAGGCAAGTTTGGTTTCCATCCGCGCCAGGAACGCACCCAGACAGAAATGATTACCCTGGGAAAAGCTCAAATGTTTGTTATCACTGCGGCCAACATCAAACACATCCGGATCTGCAAACATCTCACTGTCGCGATTGGCGCAGGCCAGTAGCGGAATCACCGCCTCACCTTTTTTAATCGGATATCCGGCAATCTCCAGATCTTCCACCGCATAATTCATTTTGGTGCCGTGCACCGGCGGGCAGAAACGCAACATTTCTTCCACCGCGGAATCCATCAGCTCGGGTTGCGCCCGCAGGCGCGCCATTTGTTCAGGATGAGTCACCAGTGCGTGTACGCCATTGGTGATTAAATGGGCTGTGGTTTCGTACCCGGCAACAATCAACAGAAACACCAGGCTGACTAACTCATCTTCCGTGAGGGAATCTCCGGCCTCTTCCGCTGCGATCAGATCGCTCAGAATATCGTCACCTGGATTTACCCGCTTGAAGTTCACTAACTCACGGATATAGTCGGCAGTGCGACGCAAGTCCCACAGAATCGTGCGCAGAATGTTCCAGCCGCTCAGCCCATCACTCAAGACGCGCACGCTGGATTGCACCTTCGGCATCTGCGCCTGACTCACACCAACCATCTCACCTATGACAATGGTCGGAATCTGCAGCGCATAGTCCCGCTGCAGGTCCACTTCAGGTTTCGCCAGAGCGTCATCCAAAAGCTGATGCGCAACGGTCTCAACGCGGCCAACAAGCTTATCCAGTGATCTTGGCGCAAACGCTTTCTGCACCAGGTTCCGCAGACGGCGGTGCTGGGGATCATCTTCCACAATCATGCTCTGCGCCAGGAGCGCCAGGTGTTTTGGCAGCGGAAATGGCATGCGCCCGCCACCCGTTATGGTGCCGCGGTTACGCAGAAACTGTTTGCTCTTAGTGAGCGCTATTGCATCAGCATAGCGTGCCACAAGGTGCACATTCACCACGGCAATTCGCCCGCGAGAGACCGGGCGAGAGCGACGCAACTCAGCGTAATAGTCGTACTTGCGATCGGTAAAGTCGCGATCGGCGAGGTTGATCGTTTTTGGCAACTCAATCGGCTGCGCCATCATTGCTGGCCGGAAACGCCGGTATTGCGGTTTGCACCTTCGCGGGACTGTTCTATATTTTCCCGCGCTATCTGCTCCTCACGTGCCCATTGTTCGGGTTTCTTGCAGACCCGTTTGGCGATACGGGAGCCAGTTTCCTTGATACGACGGCATTCGCGATTGGCGCTGCCTTGTTTCTTTTTCTCTACCTGTTGTTGTTTCTCCGCTTGGGCATAAACAGAACTCACGGGAGACAGCGCAAGTGCGCCCAACAACAACGCCGTTAAACCAATAGCACCTGGCTGCATAACAATCTCGAGTAAAAAAACCTCACCTGAGTGTATCCGCTGCAGGTCACAAAAGAAATTGCAGGTGCTAAGCTCTGCCAAACACTTCAGGGGCGGGAAAAATGATTCGATTGGTATTTTGTTTACGTCGTCAGCAACACCTGTCGTTGCAGGCTTTTCAGGAATACTGGCTGGAGCAGCATGCACCCCTGGTAGCCAGCTTTGCCAGCGACCTCAATATTTTGCGTTACGTACAAACACACACCCTGGACGACCCAGGCAATGCAGCAGCGCAAAACGCCCGAGGCAGCATGGAGCCACACTATGACGGCGTAGCCGAGCTGTGGTGGTCCACCGAGGCAGATTTAGAAAGCGCAATGGCAAGTGAGGCAGGACAGGCTGCCGGCGCTGCCCTGCTGGCTGATGAACAGAAGTTTATTGATTTACCACAATCACCGCTGTGGCTCGCTTATGAATACCCCCAGGTGAACCCCAGCCCGGAAAACATTGCTGCCCGGGTAAAAAGCAACGTCGTACGCGTGTTTTTTCCCCTGCGTGAGCAGAGTCAGATCAGCGAAGCTGATGCGCGTCACTACTGGTTAACCCAACACGGCCCTATCGTTCGTGGCGGCGCCGAGGCAGCAGGTATTTTATGTTACCGACAAGTGCATCGTGCTAACTCACCGTTCGATGAAGCGATACAAAACGCCAGAGGCACACAGGTAGAATCCTATCTGGGTCACGCAGAAGCCTGGGTGGATCGCGCTGCTGCACCGGCGACTGAAGAGGCCCGAGTTGCAGGCGAAAGCTTTGTCACCGATGAACACAATTTCATTGATATGCAACGCTCAACCATCTTTTTTGGCAAAGAGCACACGATCATCGATAAGCGTTAGCCTTCAGCGTCGTCTGCTTGTAAACCTAACAGAAGTGCAAACGCCTCTTCTCGCACGGTTGTAGCGCGCTCGGTCATCTCGTTGACCTGCGCTTCGGTGAAGCCCAAAGCGGCCAGCACTTCCGTGTTCGCTTCTCCCAGTTCAGGTGGGTCACCCTTGACGGAACCAGGCGTTTCGCTGAGGCGCACCACATTGCCAACCGTCTTAGTTGTACCGAGACCCGGCACCTGTACGTCAGCCAGATAATTGTTTGCCAGATTCTGCTCGTCTACCAGCACTTCCTGCAGGCTACGCACCTTCTCCCAGATGATCTCAGGCTGAGTACCCAAAAATTCCGTCCACTGGTCTGTGGTTTTTCCTGCAAATGCTGCCTCCAGCGTCGCACGAATCTCCAAAGAATCAGCCTCAGTCATACCTTCACCAAGGCGCTGCCCGGCAGTCTGCAGGCGCGCATCAAAGGCAAGCTCCGGCACGTCGGCAAAAATACAGAAAGCATCCCAGGCTTCAGACACCATGGTCTGAGCAAGCATAATCGCCCCATCATCAGCAGTGCGATAAATGCCATAAGGCCCTTTCAGATTGGGATGATGGGAACCTGAACGGGCAATGGGCGCATCTGTCATCGCAACCTGAGTCAATTCCCATTGTTGTAACCACAGCTGAGTACCTAACGCACTGGTTTGCGCGCGTTGGCCGGCGCCGAAGCGCTCACGCGCCAGCAACGCGGTCATCGTCGCCAGCGCTAACTGCATGGCCCCCGCGGTATCCGCAATAATAGCGCCGGGTAATGAAGGGGGCCGATCAGCAGGTCCCGTCATACCCGCAAGTCCGCCACGGGCAACTGCCGCGCCATCCAACATGGCTTTGTCAGCATCCGGACCTTCAGGACCAAAGCCATTCACCGATGCATACACCAACTGCGGATATTGCGCATGCAGAGCCTCATACCCCAGCCCCATTTTCTGCAGTGCGGGCTCTCGGTAATTGGTCAGGAAAACATCAGCATCACCCAGCAGAACATGCAGCGCCTGCATACCAAGATCTGTAGTGAGGTCGATACAAACAGAGCGTTTACCTCGATTGGCGGCGACAAACTGTGCACCCATGGTACCGTCTGGTGTGTTGTTGAACCGCCCCCTGCCGTAACGGCTGCCATCACCCACCGGAGGCTCAATTTTGATGACCTGCGCACCCATATCGCGCAGATAAAGCGCTGCCGCCGGCCCCTGCACAGCAATGGTCATCTCTATAACCGTCATCCCCTCTAACGGTTCAGGCATGTTTGTCTCCCCTGACGTTAAGTGGCTTACGAAATACGCACGCTGACTTCAACTTTACCCACCTGCGCCGCCTGCATAGGCGCACCGGTCCAGTTACGGCACATGGAACAGTGACAGGCATGAATGTGGGTATCGACGTCTTCAGCGGTGAATTTAACTGCCCCACAGAGGCATTGACCTGTTGCACTCATCGCTCTTCCCTCAGTTAACCTGACTCTGATACTGACACTGGCCTATGCTGATGTCACTCATCAAAGGCGCGCCAATCAGGCACGTCCTAACTCTTTCAGGTTATCGACGTGTGTCTTGCGGTCAATACGATACAACGTGATGAAACCGATCATAATCATCCAGACGAAAAAGATTGTTGGTGCATAGTAAGCACCTAGCTTGAACAGCGACTCGGCACTGACTTCATCCGGCGTTGCACCCGGCTGAATCTCTGCCAGCGTCAGGATGAACGTGGCAACAACCACACCCACACCTTGCACCATTTTCCTGGTGAAACTGATTGCGGAAAAGAACACCCCTTCTGAGCGACGTTTGGTTTTCACTTCACTGGCCTCGACAAGATCGGCAATCATCGATGCCATCAATGTCTGGAAGGTAATAATCAGCCCCACATCAACAATCGTCACCACCAGAATCACGGGGAATAACAGGGCATCGCCATTGGCGGGCATCAGATCAAACAGGCGCAGCAGTACAGGCATGGGTGAAATACTGAATGCCAGAATACCTATAATGATGGTGCCGCGCTTCTTGCCCATGGTTCGAGACACATACGGTGCTACCAGAAATCCGATGACCGCGGACAACACTACGGAAATGGCAATAATGCCCTGTTGGGCACTGGTGAATTCCCAGAAAAACGTATTCAGGTAAAACGACAAACCCGCGGCCAGCCCGGTCGCGACGGCACCAAACAACGCGGCCAGAAACAGTGAGAGAAACGATCGATTAGCCAGTGTGGCCCACAAATCACTGTAAATACGCTTAATGGTCATCTTTTCTTTCGGCGGCGGTGCATTCAGGTGCGGAATAAATCGGTGCGTGCCTAACGCGGACACCATGATGGCAAAAAACATCACGCTCGCCGCCACCAGGCCCATCTGCCCATAACCTTCGACGTTGAACATGCCGTTGCTGGTCGCCGCGGTTGGCACAAGCAGGAACGTCAGTGCAAAAAAGCTCATCAGCGTGCCGCCAGACCAGCCAAAGAAGTATCTGTAGCTGAGCATGCTGGTACGCTCGTCATAGTCCGTGGTCATTTCCGCAACCAGTGCAGAACTCGGAATCTCGTAGAGTGTTATCAGGGTACGTATAAAAACAGCCATCACAACGATATAGGGAAACAGCTCATTGCCTGCCAGTTCAGCGGGCGGATTCCACAAAAAGTAGTAAGAAACAGCGACTGGTACGGCAGCGAAGTACATAAAGGGATGACGTCTGCCCCAGCGGGAATGGAAGTTGTCAGAGAAGTAGCCGATAAGCGGATCACTCAACGCATCAAACATCAGCGCCAGCAATAGCGCATTGCCCACCAGTTGCGCATCAACGCCCATGACCTGGCTGTAGAACAACAGAAAATAGTAGTCAAAACCGTTGTTCTTGACTCCGAAAGCAACCGACCCGAACCCGTATGCCAGTTTATTGAATACAGAAACTTTCGGTGTTGCCACTTGTGTCAATTGCTTCCCCTCGCTTGACGGATGTCGAATGAACTATCTTGACCATCGTTATAGTTAACTATCACAAAATATACAATGGTCGCCGTGTTGCAGGGGCAGTGAAAGAGTGGATACCCCAGAGGGGGTGCATTTAACTTCGGGAGATGTATCATTCGCGCCCGACAAAACTGTCGATGGTTGCCAGCGCTGAGTCACTACCTCACTGACAAAACAAAAAATCTATCCACCATTGCGAGAAGCGCAGGTGCATCTGGAATGAACATGAGCACGGAAAAAGACTACCCCTCCATAATCACTGAGAAACGGGGCAAGGCGGTAATTCATGACCCGCTACTGAATAAAGGTAGCGCGTTTACCAAAGAAGAAAGAGACACACTGGGGCTGCACGGCCTCATACCGCCACAGCAGAACACTCTGGCACAACAATCCCGTCGTGCCCACAACGCCCTGCTAAGGTTGTCTGAACCTTTGGATAAGTATGTTGGGTTTTCGGCCTTACAGGACCGTAACGAGCACCTTTTCTACCGCGTCCTTATGGATCACATGACCGAGTACATGCCCATCGTGTACACACCCACCGTGGGTCTTGCGACCCAGAATTTCAGCCAGGTCTTCCAGCGCGGTCGCGGCATTTGGATTGACCCAAGTATGCGCGGCAAAATAGCTGACGTACTACGCACGGCGATGGGCAACGCAGATATACGATTAATTGTCGCCACTGACAACGAATCTATTCTGGGCATTGGCGACCAGGGCGCCGGTGGTATGGCCATTTCGATCGGTAAACTGGCGCTGTACGTCGCCGGCGCGGGCATCAATCCGGCCCAGACTCTCCCCATCAGCCTCGACGTTGGCACCAACAACGAACTG